CGGGGAGTCTTGGTTTCAGCCTTGGGAGTGCTGGGCCATCCCCCCTTCTTCATGGCCTCCAGTGGCCACTGATGGTCCTCTAGTCCCACACCAGGGCTTGGGCCACAGGAGGTGACTGTGGAGAGGCCTGAGCCTGAGAAGGCCTGGAGGGCAGTGGTGGGCGAGTGGCTCAAGCAAGCATGAGAGTTACTGGTAGGGCTGGCCTGCCAGAGCCTCCCCACTGAGCTGGTTTGGGTGCCGTCTGCCGGTCAGGGCTCTTCACCCTCTTTTCTTATTGGCTTGAATGTAAGAGTCTGGCAACTGGGGGGGCGGGGAGGCAGAGGCAGAGGGGAGGAGGGGCTGTCCTAGGATTCCCCCTGGAGTGACCACTGACTGCACAGCCAAGCGGTGAGAGTGCTTTGTGTAACCTGTCTGAGCCTCAGTTTTCTCATCCGAAGAATGGGTATCCCAACCCCTTCCACACCAGATGGTGAGGTTCCCTGCGATCATGTGTATGAGCAAACGTGCTTTTAAACGCTAACACTCTGCACAGGTGCGTGGAGTTGTTCTTTTAAGTCTCCCCCACATCCTCCCCAGGCTCCAGGGAGATCTTCGGGTCCAACAGTCTAAAAAAATGGGGCGGTACTGAAAGAAGTGACACTTTCCTGAGAGGGGCTGATGGGAGCCAGCATTTCAGAGGTCACCCCTGGTGTCCAAGGTGGATTGCCGCTTGTAACCCCAAGAAGCTCCTTAAAGGACTGGACCCTGAGCTACAAAACCGGCAACTGGTGGTGAGAGCAGCTTCCAATGAAAAGATGTGGGAGGCAGGGGAGTCGAAGGTGCTCCCTTGCCTCCCTGCTCCACCTGCGGCCCAAGGCCGGTTGGAAGCCACCTGCCTGTCTCCGGGGGCACCTAGCAACCGTCAGTGCCCTTGTGGCCCAATGGAACCGCTGCTTCTGGGGCTCTGGAGGGGAACCGGACAACCCACAATGGGGTGTTGGGGGGGGGGGGAGCAGGAGGCTGGAGCTGTCTCCACCCTTGCCCAGCCAGAGCAAGAGCCCCACATTCGCGAATTCCTGCCTCCTCTCTGTGTCTGTCTGTCCCTCGCTGTCCTTACTTGGCCCGAGACTTACATGTGAAGGCAGGTGAGGCAGAAAGAGAGCTGGACCTAGAGAATCCGGACAGGTGTGAGGGTGATGACTTTCAACGTGATGCAGGAGGGATAATGTCAGATCCTGCGTGTGGCCCTCGCATCAGTGTGGCGTTCCTGGCTCTCCAAACCATAGACCTCCGGAGACCCGGACGCTCAGAGGCTCCTGCTGACGTGAGACCCGGACGCTCAGAGGCTCCTGCTGACGTGCAGAGAAGGGCAGCCGGGGCATCAGAGGCGGGCTCAGGGCCCAGACGCTCCTGCTAGGGCTCAGCCCCCAGGACGAACACGGCACAACCATGCGCTTGATGTCGCAAGGGTTTTCCAGCGAACCCTGCGCCTATTCCACGACCTCACCTCGCCGGAGAACCCAGGTTGCTTGGGACTGACCCGGTCCACACACTCCAGGAGGAGGGGGAGGGTCCCCGGGCCAGTCTGGGGCTGTCGCGGCCTCCCAGTTGAGCGATCAAACTCCACCTCCGCAATAGCCACCAGGACCCGTCTCGGGGCGTCCTCGGCCGGCCACGAGGGGGCGCGAAGCTGGGAGAGTCGCACCGCAGGACCCCAGCCCTTCGGACTCCACCCCAGGGCAGGCCATTATGGGCCCATAGTTGGGCGGTGCGACCTGGGACCTCAGGCAAGGGACCCCATGTGCGAGGTAGCTAGCCATCGCCCTGGCACAGGGGATCTTGACCGCTTCGTCC